TCATTAGTAGAGCCGTAATAGAATAAAACATGTTTCTATTGGTGAAACACAAGCGCTCGCGTTGCAAGGCTGGAATAAAGCATGTTACAGCTTTATGTGCAGTTCAGCATCTCACAGACCACCACAGACCAGACTGTGACAGCTGCTGCACACCACATCTGTTCATCGCTCCCGCCTCACCACTAGGTGGTGATGTGGTGACAGCTTATCCCATTTCTTTGCCTCAGACCTATGGCTTCAGGTGTAACAGTATCACAGCATCAGCCTTTAAAATAACCGTATAACAGTCGTCTGTATATTCATTTTACATTCGTGCTTCTGCATCATTGGTTGGCTGCTCGCTCTGATCTCGGGCACAGTCAAGTTCAAAAGTGTTTCAAACATGAAACATTATTTTGCCGGTGGCCTCAGTGTATCAGCACGCTGCACTTTCAATCAAACAAACAACATCTGACTGAAAACGTTAGACTGTCAGCTTTAATTCAACATTTTGTGAAAGTGTAAGTTGAAAACAGGGTTTGTAAAGGAGCGCTTCTTGGATTCACCGCTGCTGGTCAAAGACACGTTTCAGACGCGTGTTACATGTGTGTTACTATTTAATGTTAAAGGTTTAGTTTGAATATGTAGAAGTCATGTTCTGTGAACAAATACACACACGCCACATTTGACTGGTCTTCAGTGACACTGTTGTGTATTCTGCCTGGTTACTGGTTCGGGGTTGGATGAATCATGTGACGGTCAGGATGCGTCTTGAAATGCACGTGTGGATGTGTTGAATGTTCAGGATGTTACAGATATGTTGTAAATGTTGTTCATTTTTATGGAGTCAAACAGGGTTTGTGCCAAACTGCAAGACTGCACAATGTTGTTTCACTATTTTGCGTTTTTTCTGAACATTAACGTTTTATTACTTTTCTTCCAGCTTTGTTTTAAGGTTTTGTTTTGGGCCTTTCTTTTTAGAAAAATTACATTTGGAGAAACGTAATTATTTATATTAACAAATGAATACAATACAGTAATACATACAGTGTATATGTAAGTTAAACTTAAGATATTTGTATATATTAAAAAAAATTAAAAATTCCCTTCTCGCCCCTGCGGGCGGTCAATCCTTCAAGCTCGGGTCCTCTACCAGAGGCCTGGGAGCTTGAGGGTCCTGCGCAGTATCTCAGCTGTTCCCAGGACTGCGCTCTTCTGGACAGAGATCTCCGATGTTGTTCCCGGGATCTGCTGGAGCCGCTCGGTCATCTTGGGAGTCACCGCACCGAGTGCTCCGATTACCACGGGGACCACCGTCACCTTCACCCTCCACATCTTTTCCCGATCTTCTCTCAGCCATTGGTACTTCTCAAACTTCTCATGTTCTTTCTTCCTGATGTTGCTGTCATTGGGAACCGCTACATCTATCAGTACGGCCGTCTTCTTCTGTTTGTCTCTCTCTCTATAAATATATAATATGCATTTTTGCAGTTTTGCAGACGTCAGGAGGGCCATCTAGGACTGACTGAGGCTCTGCCCAGAGGACCACCATCGCTGCCTGCATGGCAGAGAAGGTTTGGTCCTCCCCTTTTGCTTGGCGCCTCCTGGACGCAAAGGGGAGGTGTCTGGCTGGAGGCTGGCTGACACAGGGGGAGGCACGGCTGCTGGAGGCGGTCCTACTGGAGCAGTTTGCAGAGGGACTCTCAGGGGGAATGGTAGACTGGGTCAGGTGTTACTGGCCGCTGAATCTGGATGCAGCCATGGCACTGGCGGAAGACCACCTCGCGGCGCAGCTGAAGAACCGCGTGAGATCGATGCGAGGGGTGGGGTGAGGTCAGCTGGTCCTGGCCCAAACTCCCTGGGCCAGGACCAGTGACACAGACCAGAAAGAGATACTGATTGACCAGGGCGCTGGATGCATGTCTCGCACACTAAACGAGCTGTTGAATTACTGGGCATTAAATTTGTTCACTAAACTGTGAACTGTGTAAATAATCTCTGGCACGCTGCTGGCACGGTC